CAAGCTTATGACCATTTGACTCAAAGCCCCACCCTCTAATCATACAGTCAGCCTTTCTGGCACAGCCAACTATATCCTAAATCATCACTGGTGAACCCAGTGCGGGTTCTCTCTCAGAAAGCAGAAACAAAGACCAGAAAAATACTTCATTCTGCCAGAATCTATAAGACAAGCAGGCAGATAAAGCAGTCATGACTGTAATATGAAACAAAAATGACCAATTCAAATGTGTCAGGCCTTGAGCTGGGAGCACTCAGACTTTTTGTCATCATGTAAAGATCTACAGGCTGGCAAATGCCACCATTGGAAGGCCAATTTGTTCTTGAACCAAATGTTAAGCTTGTACTTGCTGGCCAATTGGACTGTACACCCATTATAGAAAAGCAGAAATCCCCTTGGACTCCACAGAAAGGCACTTAAAATGGGCATAGTCAACACATCAGGCCTCTGGCATGTCTGAGAGGCTGAGAAAGCAAGAGGTGACACCAGGCTTCTGAAATGCAGTCCCTTGGGCCAGATAGAAGCTGGGAACTTGTTAAAAACGTGTCGCCATCTGGGAAAGTGCACAAGACTTGGGACTAGGAGAAATTGGGAGTCTTCTGGGAAATACTGAGGTGCCAGCAGCCGACAGAGAAAGATGACAAAGTGCTCACCTGCCAACTTGGGGAGGCAAGGTGTCCAACATGCAGACCATTTGCTTGCAAGTGAGACACGTATAAAAAACAAACAAACATGTGTGGTCCTGTTTCCTCCTGTTCGTGGCCTGACTAGGATGCAGTGCCATTTGAGAAATGGATCACAATTTTCCTGAAGGCTTGAATAAATTTAAGTTGTTCCGAATGTCTGACCACTTAGTGTGTATAAATAACTGCCTTCCCCACAGAAACTTTTACTGCAGATACAGAATATTCTCATTAAACTTTTAACAAATGGAGCTAGGGAAATAGCTCAGTCAGCAATGTGCTGGCCTTGCAAATGTGAGGACCTAAGTTCAGCCCCAAGAACCTACGTTTTAAAAAGGAGAGAGAGAGAGAGAGAGAGAGAGAGAGAGAGAGAGAGAGAGAGAGAGAGAGAGAGGAGAAAGGGTAGGCATGGTAGTATATTCTTGTAATCCCAGTGCTGGGAAGATCCCCAAGACCTTGCTGGCCAGTTATTCTGGCTGCTTGGCAATCTCTTGGCCAGTGAGACACCTATCTCAAGACAAACAAAAAGGTAGACAGCCCAGGTTGTCCTCTAGGCTCCATGTACACTTTCACATACATGTACATCCACACATGTGAACACACATGCACACACACACCATTTTGAAGAAATGCACATTTCACAGTTCTATCTTCAAGATTGGGTGACTTTCTGTCAAAGGTGTCCTACAATTCTGACAGCATTTTGCTTTCTTTATGCTATTTGAAATAATGGTATAGCATTTTAGATTTAGATGAAATAGAAGCAACTTATTGTCCTGAGAGTGTGCAACAGTCAGAGCTCAGGAAGAACGAGGCAGCCAATGAGCTGCTAAGGGAAGTAGGAGCGGCCTTCCAGCAGTGACTGGGCTTTAACCCACCAGAGATCTCCTCCAGTCTCTTTAAAATGCGAATTCTAGTAGGGTTTTTAAAATGGAAAGCCATTTTTACATTTCGGGAGTCAGCCCAATCTGGTTATGATGCAGTGTTAGTTTTACAGACCATTCAGTTCCATTTTTTTCTTTTCCTTTTAAATCTTCGTGTGTGTGTGTGTGTGTGTGTGTGTGTGTGCAGACGGTCATGCATACAGTTGTGTTCATGTGTGTGAGTAGGGGTGGCATGCCTACCACGCAGCATGCATGGAGGTCAGACACACTTTGGGTGTCAGCCTTGCTTTGCACTTTGAGCCTCTTGTTGTTTGCTAGTTTGTATAACTAGTAACTGGCTCTCTAGCCTCCAGGCATTCCCCAGTCTCCACCTCCCGTTTCACCACAGGAGCACTGGGAAGCACATGTCTGTACATGCACCACCATGTCCAGCTTTACATGTACATATGTTCACGTGGTTGCATTTAGAATTTTTTATCTAAGCTTATTCTAAAGTCCATTTGCACAACTATGACCACACAACCAAATCATTCTGAATTTTATATCTTTCCTCCTTTTCTTTGTTTAAATGTTTTTCAAGACTGATTCACATATGAACTCACAGAGACTGCGGCAGCGTGCACGGGGCCTGCAAGGGTCTGCACCATATGGGGTCTCAGAGCTGATTGACAGCCATTTGCAAATGAGAATTTAGTTTTCTTCAAAGGTGTCTCACTGGGTATACTAACCACACTAAGAGTGTGCCTCATGCCCTGCAGTAAAAGGCCAGCACAAAAAACAAAAACAAAAACAAAAAAAACGCAGCGGTAGTTTTGTAGAGTGTTTCCCTCATTGTGACTTGTGTGGTCCTGTTTTGTTTCGTTCTGTTTTACTGGCCTTTTGCTTGTGTATTATAGTTTTCTGGTTTTCACGGATTTTGTTTCTTGTGGTTTTCTTTGTCTCTTTTTTATGTTTATTTTGTTTTTTGGTTTTCTGAAGAGAGGGAGAGAAAGGGTGTGGAGGATCTGGGAGGAGTTGTCGGAAGGCAAAGAATGATTAGAATGTATTATATAATGATTTTTTTCAATTAAAATAATTTATGGTAAAATTTCTTTTCGAAGATTGGTTTATTTTTATTTTATGGGTGTTTTGCCTGCATGTATGTCTGTGCACCATGAGCATGCCATATCTTCAGAGTCACATGAGGGTGTCAGATCCTCTGGAGTTGGAGTCACAGACAGCAATGAGCTGCCATGTGGATGCTAGGTATGGAAATCAGGTCCTTTAGAAGTTTTAACCAGTGAGATGCCTCTCCAGCCGCTCTCTTTTCTTCATCAGTGCTGTTAGATGATTTATAAAAGAACTAGTTTTTATCATTTTTGACTACTTGAAAGTATCTGTTTTGTTTTATTATTTTCAGATGTTATAAATAGTACTACTTTAAATTTTTTATTCATTTAATGTCTATGTGTGTATGCTTGAATGTAAGTATGTACTATACATGTATGCAGATACCTAGAGAATTCTGAAGAGGGTATTGGATTCCCTCAGAGCTTGACTTACAGGAAATTGTGATTTTCCTGGTGTGAATGCTGGGAACTGAACCCAGGTCCTCTGAAGCAGAATCAAGAGCTTCTAACCACTGAGCCATCTCTCCAGCCCCTCCATGTTACTTCTTACATGCCCATGCGTTCATTTATTATTCTTTTTCTAGCTGGTCTATCAGGCTGGCCTTGAACTCTGGTGATCCTCCTACCTCAGGAGTTAATGAGCTCAACATGAATTTGTCTTCTGCATGCTCTGAACTGTTGTGAAATGTTAATTATGTAAAGATGTGTCACATTGTTTATGCTGCATTTGTTTAGTTATGTAAAAATGTGTTGCTGTTTTACCTTGTCTGCTAAGGCACCTGATTGGTCTAATAAAAAACTAAGCAGCCAATAGCTAGACAGTAGAGGGATAGGCAAGACTTGCAGGCACAGAGAATAAGGAGAAGGAGGGATCTAGTCTCAGGAGAGAAGAGAAGGAAAGGACAAGGCTGGTTGGGGCTATTGAGCCAGGCAACTGCCAGCCAGCCAGACACAGAATAGGACATATAGAATGAAAGAAAGGTAAAAAGTCTGAAGGCAAAACATAGATGAAGAGAAGCAGTTCATTTCAGTTATGAGAGCTAGTGGGACAAGCATTACATAAGGCCAAGCATTCATAACTGATAATAAATCTCCATGTCTTGATTCGGGAGCAGTTAGTTAATGGTCCAAGAAAGCCTGCGACACTGGGCAACACTCTTGTACACACTTCTGCAATGGGAGGCTCTCACCAGAGCAGATGTTGGCCGTGTTTGCAGACCTCTAGAACTGTGAGCTAAATAAACTTCTCTATAAAGCACACAGCCTCAGATATTTTGTTACAACAGAAATCAGATAGATAGATTTGTACTGTTTACCTCACTGCTGTTTTCAAAACTTAGAAGTATAATCTTAGCTTTAGATTCCTCACTGCCTTACTACAAGGATGTGCCTTCCAAATTACTTCTAAGAAAACGATGAGAATGGAAGACAGTGGGCGGAGAGAAAAGGGCGGGGCCAGAGAGAAAAGGGAGGGGCTGGAGGAAGATAAGGGATGTTTGTAAACTTGCTATTCACTATTATTATTCTCCTTTGTATATTTACTGTGAATAACCAGATTTTCCTTGGAAATTATTTCTGCATCATGTTCTGCAAAATAAGCACTAACTTTTCTTGTCATCTAAGAAAATCATAAACATCCCTGGCACAAACAAGCCTGTTTTAAAGGAGACATACTTCAAAACAACATACATGGTCTTCCATCCTTAATTTTCAAACATAAAACGCTATGACGTCATTTTTCTTCACACAGCTTCTGTGAATTTGAACTGAAACTCTGCCACCAAACACATTGTAAACAGAAAACAGCTCTGGAAAGACACCTGTGACCTTATTTTGACTGTTACTTAAGAGTCACACAGATTAGCTGGTCTCACAGGGGATTACAGGTGGGGAGAGTTCCCCAGTCAAGGGCTGGGGAATCAGGACAGGATAACAAGCACGTTTGCAAAAGGCGGCTGCCTAAAGCAAACAATTTTCAGTTGTTTACAAAGTGCAGGGAGAAACGTGGGTCTCTCATTGGTGTTTACACTTCAGCCACACATACAAATCATGCATTACACACTCACACACACAAATAACACATCTCACACACAAACCACACATTCCACATATGCAAACCACACATATCACAGGCATATCACACACACGGAGGTCCATCAAAGACATGCACACACAAGCATACATCACACACACCTATCACTCACATGCCCTTATGTGCACGAATACACACTCCTCACTGTCATTAGTATATGCTCTAAAACTTTAAAAGTCTAGGGGAAATAAAAACCACTGATCCTGGAAAAATAACAGCCAACAGGGTTTGCTTTAACTGCAAAGGAGCAACAGAATTTATTGACGGAATTTAAACACAACAGTTCAAATGGCAAAGTTGTATTTTCAGTGTAAGATGAATGGCAGGAGAGCCCATTAGTCCAACCTGTTTACATTTGTTAAGAGAGTGGCTATCAAAACCAGCAACATGCACAATAGTACATATGCACAAAATGGAATCATATCAACAAATATACAAAATATTCAAAATAAAATTATTTACAGGTTTAAAAATATAAACATTGATTCATCTATCCCATTAGACCATTGGAGTAGCGAAGGATAAAGGACCCTATTGGTGTTTAGATCCCTTCTTCGAAGTAGGTTTGGAAAGCATAGAGTTCTTTCTAGGAGACTAACTTTTTGATGATTTTTAGAGAATTAACATTCTTTTATAAAAATAATATGTATAAACCTACCAATTACTAGCAATTTCCCCCCTCTGCACAAAAGTCATGCAGCCGAGCCCTGTCCTCAGAGGTTCTCCTGCCAGGAAGGCTCTCCCACCAGGAGTTTCTGCTTGGGTTTCCTTAGTCACTGCTGCCAAACAGCCTGCACTTCCTCATATCAAGCTACGATGCTGCATGGGAACCAGACAGACAATATGAAGTTCACCCAGGGCATGGTGGGCCAGTGATGACAAATGAAAACCACAGGGCTTTAACATCAGTCATTTTCACTGACATTCTTCCGAAATCCACTGCTATCAATCAGATCAGCTCTGCTAAGTTTATTCTAGAGACAATGAAAATGGTCAGTAGTTCTTTAACAGGCAGTTAAGAGCATTCATAAATTCCACCTGATTACCTAGGTAGTGTCACAGGCACCGGCGTTGTACACATTGCACACAGTATTTACCCTCCACGCCCCTGTGTTACTAGACCACATATGTTCTAGTTTATTAAATGACCCAGATTTGAAGATGTGTGGGAAAGCTGCTTACATCTCAAAGAACCAGGAACCATGACTGCATCAGAAATGTGTTTTCATATAGAGCAGAAAGTTAATTATTAAGCACACCTCCCTAATCCTCCCAGCTTACAACAGGGAGAGAGGGCCAGCATTGGTTGTCACCCTGTGTCCCACCACACTGAGCCAGGGGAAAAGTCCTCCAAAGGTAGGTAGCATGTATATGGGTAAAATAATCTTGTTAGTTGTGATTTTGATGCAATTTCAAACTGATTTTCCCTACATACTGAGAAAGGCATCTCCCTGGGATTAGAGAGAAAGGAAACAAGGCCAAGGCCTAATGAATTCCCCACTGAAATTGCTTTTCTGGTTATATTATTGGCAAAACAGACATAAGATTATATAGTCCATAAATACAATCTAAGTAACTACTGGCTATGACCCCAGATTTTAACTGACCTAGACAGGAAAAAGTTTGCTCATCCCTGAATCAATCTTTTAGACTTGTTAACATAGATTTTTATGAAGGCTATCAACAACTATTTAAAAACCCAGTTTAGTTTTAATTGAAAGACTCACTTAAATGACACCCACCACCAAAAAAATGATCCTTATAGTTGAGAACATCAATCAGTTTCTCTATGAAAATGAGTAATTCAAAAGGTGTGTGATGGCCAAGAAAAGATCTCTAATTAAAGGCTGAGCTGTGGCGTCAGGTTCAAATGCTGCCCTGTTACTCACCGTGTGACTCAGGCCTCAATGGTCTTCAACCTTCTCAAGAATCAGTCTCTTACTCTGGGAAATGGAGCCACAACAAGCCTTATTCGAGTCTTGTGAGCCATCATTTCTACCACAACAGGAAACCCAGCCTATGGAAGCTAGTAGAATTAACCATAAAATGCTAGGGTGTGCTCAGTAAATGCCAGCTGAGTGAATTAATGAATCAGATCAATATTTCAGGGCCACTGAGGAAACAGGATGGATGGTTTGTGGTGGCAGGTACTTGCATCTGGAATTCAGAGTTGGACCAGGGCAAGGGATAACTCAGCTGCTCCTGCTTAGGAAGATGACAACCAGTTATGGTGGAGAAGCTGGGCCCTCGTGTATTGATATTAGGGGGTAAAACAATGCATCGGCTGTGGGAAACCCAACATGATCACAGGTCCTCATAGGCTAAAAAATAAAATTACTGTATGGTCCAGAAATTACACTCTGGGGTATTTATCTGAAAGGCTTGAGGTCAGGATCTTGAAAAAAGTATTTCCATCCTCATGGACACTGGGGCATTATTCGAAGTAGCCAAGACACAGTATCATGTGTGTTGGGAGGTGACTGAAAAAATGACTTGCAGTATACCTGCAGCACCATGGGATCAGCATCCAGAAAGGGAGAACTCCTGAACATATGACCAGGTGGACACTATATCCGGGAGATGTTGTGCTCAGTGAAATAAGCAAGTCCCAGAAGCACAAAATCTACCAGATCCCACTGCTCTGAGGTCTTTAACACAGTCCAGCTCCTAGACTCAGAGAGCAGAATGGTGGTTATCAGGGCTGGAGGAGGGGCATGGCTGATTAGTCAGCCATAAAATGTCCATTACTGCAGAATGCCCAAGTTCTAGAGGTTTGCTACAAGCAATGTGCCTATTGTCACGTGCCCTGTACTGTACTCGTAAAAATGGGCAGACTCCATGCTGAATGTTCCCACTACAACTAAAACGACAGGGAATACTCAAGACAAGGCTAGTCTAGGCTTAAGGTAGGAAAGCAAGTGAAGCGTGCCTGGAATGGCCAAAATCCTATCAGGGAAAAAGAGTTGCCATGACAACAGAAGAGACTTCTACCTGTACTTCCCATGTTAATCCCTGGAAGGAGAGGGCGCTCCAAAGAGAAGGAGGCCAATTGTTTGCCTATAGACCACGGAGGAGCAGGGGGCTACAGGTTCCCCTGTGTGACCCGAGCACCAATGTCTTAGACACAAAGCTGCTTTCATCAGTTTGGATGTGAGTTAGCTTTTCCTGTTAGAAGTGAAGTGAGGTTAACGATTTTAGCAGCTCTTAGCTTTTGTGTTACCATAGGACACCTGACAGTCACAGAAGGGGATTCAGGGAGAGCCTTCAATGAAAAGGTCAGAAGAAACAAAAAGCCCAAGTTAAAGTCCTATCAGGGAGACAACATCACCTCGTAGTGGCTGTGGAGTTACTCAGTAGTGCTCCTAGGAGCACTGGCACGCAGAAGAGTTGAGTAAGGGCTGGCCACTGTCAGAGGTTTTAGAAGCATTTGCATGACTTGATTCACCACCATGCTACTCCAACATACAGACTATAAGCAATAAGCACAAATGCAAAACATACAAAGGTGAGATGGATGAAATTAAAGTGTTTTAATGAGTATTGAAAAAATCCAATAACAGCACAGCCCTCAACTGGGTTTTAAAATTAAGTATAAATACAGTGAATATTCATGAAATATGCATTGCATTGGATTCAAGTCAATATAGAAGCTGCTTTCTGTCAACTGGAGGCTTATGACAATTTAGTCTTCCCTGTTTCAGTTCAAGAAAGAACTCCTCTCCCTAGTTCAATTCCCAACCACCTTTTGAAGGCTTTGTCTGTCTGCAGATGGAGCAATTGTTTCCTTTCTAAGTGGCTATTGTTGCAACAAACTCTTTCCTTTAAACCAGTCACTAGAGTAGGAGGCCCAGAGAAGCGCTCTAGAACTGAGAGCCACTGAAAGCCTTGAGAGCAGAGTCACACGACACAGTCAATGACCCCCCTGAGGACACATCAGTGACCGCTCTGAGGACACGCTGAGCACCCTGAGGCTCTCCTGAGCAGTCTGCTCTGCCACACAGCACCTAAGGGACACCAAGCTAAGACCTCGTTCGTCTATCACTGGTTTGTCAATATTTTTGTATAGTGAATTAAAATTTCCAAGGCTGAGTTTACCCAGATCGTTGAGTCCTTTCTTAGTGGGCTGAGGAAGGAAAGGACCAAGGTTAACTGAGGTATTTTAATTCTCTTACTCAGAGCCTTCTAATTGACCATGCTGATGACAAGAGAGGCAACCGGAAAATTCTCCAGTTAGTTTTTTAGCACTCATGAGAAAAGCTGAGTGGAGGTGACTCTTATGTCTCAGTGGAGGCCAGGCACAGTGAGCCAAGTCCTCACATTCCCAGTGCAAGGAAGACATTTACTGACTGAACGCAAGGAGGACGCAAGAGATGCTAGCATGGTCCAGAAGGCAACAACACCGATGTGTCATAGTCTCAACTATCCCAGGGATGCAGGTAACTATGATGCACAGAGGGAGACATGAAGTCACGTGAGTCAACCTCTTCAGACACTCTCAACAAAGAACTTCCCCATAGAGATCAGAGAGGGAATAAATGAAAACTCTTAGAAAGTTTGGCCAAAGAAATCTTAACACCTGATAAAGCCTTTGACCTTGACAATTGAGTCAACAAAGGACTCTTTGCATATTAACTTCAATGAATGAAAAACAACTGAGGTGAGTAAGCCCTTCAAGCTGGGCAAGACATCGTCTGTACAGATTACACACCGAGTCCATATTTGCATGTCAGTAGGCAGGTAAGTTTTGTGCAAAATGCATCTCAAGGGAGCCCTGATGATCTGTATTCCATTGTTGTTATGTGAAATAATAAAAATTTATTTCCTGTAGTGACTATTTGAAATGCTGTAGTAAATGGAATGTCTCCCACTGCATGATGGAGGAGAAAGAGGGCCTGTAATGCCAGCAGAGCCAAGGCAGGGCTGAACTGACTTTAAGTAGTGTGTGTGTGTGTGTGTGTGTGTGAATGTGTGTGTGAATGTGTGTGTGTGTGTCTGTGTGTGTGAATGTGTGTGTGTGTCTGTGTGTGTCTGTGTGTGTGAGTGTGTGTGTGGTGTATGTGCATGTATTGGGGATATTAAAGACAGACTGTCTTTGTGCAGAGCCATTAAACTGACAAATTCCTGCCCAACAATTGATTTGGCTTTTTGCCCTCTTGTTTTAGGCAGTTCTTTACCCAAAGAGTGCCAACCCAATGGCCCTTAGAACTGTACATAACCAAGAAATCATCATTTGCTCATGTCTGACCTTTCTCTTAAAAAGTCAGCAAAGAAACCTGTCTAATTCTGAGAAGACTATTATATAACACATTCATAAACATTTGCATGTAAACTTAGCAATTTCTTGCAAACACAGATAAGACAAAGTAACCCTTGGCCCAAGAAAGCAACTGTAATCCCTTTTCTGTGTTTGGAGAAGGCTGATCACCATCCTAACTGCTAACAACTAAGGACATTTAGTTCACTATCAAGTCCTTTACTGGACTGGCATGGTGCTGTTCTTAAATGTGCAGGATAAAAGAGAAAAATCAGGTGGGAGAAGTGCGATGAAAAGAATTTCTTTTGTAACTGTTTAATTGCCAGGGGAAATGAAGGCAACATTGGCCTTCACTTATAAATTGAGGATGGCATAGTGGGTGGCTGCAGAAATAACCCTCCAAGCTGGGAATGCTTGAAGGAGTGGCTTCTAGTGCTTTAGCAACCACCTGCCATTACTCTGACACTGTCTGAGCCCATTCTTCATATGCTACCTTTCCCACACAGTTGAACAAGCGCAAGCAAAGCCCAGCCATGGAGTCGTGCAAAGGTGAACATAATCTTTGCCGGGAAAAGCACAAGGAAAAAGTTCCTTTTGTCTTCCTGCTAGAAGTAAAATTTGTATCCTCTCAGGTTCTATGGGGGAAACAAATACATTGTGGGGTCTACATGTTTCTATTAATATTAATCAGATTTAAAGTCTTCTTTCAAGGGCAGAACTGATTTTCAAAATACTGACAAATCCCAACTATTTTGAGATGTCTTCTGTCTGTCATTTTTTTATCCAGAGGAATTCCTGAGCATATATGAGATGCGTGTGTGGTTTCTGATAGTGAGCCCAGAATTCTTAGGGTGATGAGCACCTGGAGGGTCTCATCTCTAGACACAAGGACATTGAAAATTAAAGCATTGCTTTGTGATAACAGCAAGGACCTGAGACAACACAGTAGAAGTCAGTAATGTAGCTAAGGGACGCGGCAGACCTCTGCCTCCTCTTCTAAGGGAATTGCTACAAATCAGATATGGGAATAGGTTCCTTTATGCCTTATCAAGTTTTCCTTGATGTCCACTTATTTTTGCTTCCTTCATACTACTAAAATAAGTTTTCATATATTTAGCTTCTTTTTTCTTTTAAAAAATATAACTAAAATCTTAAAACACAAAATAGCAGACCATTTCTTAGTCATCTCTCTAGAACTCGAATTACACTGTGCTCTTGTCATTTACACACATGCAGGGTCACTGGGACATGTGCCATCTTCCTGATGTGCCATAACACCTCTGGTAGAAGCTCCGGCCCTTTGAGTTAAATGCCTCTCCAGAGGGTACCAGTTTAGTCAGCATTCGAGGAACCCCTTCACTGTACTGTTCAAACTGCCAAGGCAGCACGGTTTCAACTGAAATATTAGAAAGCATATATCGAATCAAAGCACTTCTCAAAAATAATTTAGTAGAATGTTTACATACTTAGGTTTGGCAATGTCACATGAAGAACACATAAACCTATGTCTTAGGCATAGGTTTATATAGCAAAAGTCAAATGAATAGTTTTAAACGTGTATTTCTTTCTATTATTTCTTCATATGTTCACTTTGGACTTCCTAACCTGGGGAAAATGGTTGGATTCAACATTTTATAAACAAGGTATAATCTCTGATTTGGACTGAGAAATGGACTCTTAATAAAAGCCAGGCAACCATTGTTCAAGAGGGATATATATATATACATATATATATATATATATATCTCCCTAATCAAAAGCATCCCTGCCCCAGGCTACAATGCATAAAGAACAACAATGGTTTGTCATCATATCCAGCTATAAGACCAGACTCTAAATTCTTTATCATTGACAGAATTGTACAATGTTAACCGTGAGACAAACTGTTAAAATATGCATTATCTACATGTAAGAAAGTTGACGTTTACAAACGACAAAATATTGTGTAATTAGCATTTAGTGAGATCTTTCCCTGATCCTGATGTTTGCACTGAGAGGGAGGGGTGGATTCAAAAAATACACAAACAAAAAGCAAAACAAAACAAAAAAGCACATAAGCTACTCATGAGCCTTTTTATTTCTTCTCAAACAAATGATCTGGACCAACCAAACTAAAACCTTTCTTTTTTGTAGATAGATCTTTACCTATTTGCATTCTGGCCACTGGACGCGGGGGGTTCTCTGCCAGCCAGCAGTCCCCTCTTCTCATCAAGTAGCTCTATGGATCTTTGAGCTTTGTAGGTGTTCCCACACAGTGATAAGCAAAGGGTCTTTTTTTTTCCTGGAAAGAGAGGCAAGAATCCTGTTGCTTAGTGATTCCTCAAGGCCCTCTTGACTCTAGAATAGCCTGATATCCTGGTGTGATGTTTTTGTTAGATTTGGTTAAATCTTATTTTCTGCAAAAGCAAGGGAAGGCGACTTCCGAGTGATTCATGAATTAAAGGGAAAAAAGAAGGAAAAAACAGATTTTTTAAGGTTAAAAGAAAAAGTGCTAGAAAAGAATTCTCAGGAACTTATCTGAACTCCGTGTGTAACATTCCCCTTTCAGGGTGTCCTGTCCCTGTCTCCAACAAAGACTTCTAGGCCATATGGAGAAGGGTGGGTCCTAAATTGTTTGCTTTGGGCAAAGCAAACTTCCTTCAGCGGTTTCCAGGGGAAAGTTATATTCCTTAATACACATGGTCCATGCATCCTTGGCCTTGGAGACCTCACAACTTTTTGGCACTGTCATGGCACGCTGCTGCCCTGATGGTGGTCCCAGCCAAACCCCGGTTGCTGACCCTGCGGACCAGCACTTTGGAAACGGGGATTTTTGTTCTGGGCAACTCACTCCTGACTGGTTGCTGGTGCACCACAGGATGACTGGATGGAAGGTTGGAGAGATGCTTGATGCTAATGGGGATTTTAGAGTCCTTCAGCAAGCTGCCTGGTGTTCTCAGTGGACAGGTGATGGTGCCTGGAGACACCGGCTTTAGCCGGGACAAGCAGGGTGGGTCCTCCGTGGCAGGAAGGGTGGCTGGGGTTCCTTCGGGTTCAGTGTAGAGATCATAGAGAGCATCGCCACTGTCGCTATCCCTGGGGATGACTGCCTTCTTACTGCTGCTGGCGCTGTCTTCTTCTGGGCCAGGAGTGGTGGAATCCCAGTAGCCCTCGTCGCTGTTAGGGACGCCTTCTTGATGCTCTTTCTCCGGGTGCTTGGGCTCCTCCTTCTGCTGAGGCTCAATGGGGATCCTGTGGAGCTTCCGGCGCTTGACAGAGGACATGTCCTTGGCTACTTCCCCACACCGGGCATCACTGGAGGTCTCAGGGGCCAGCTTGGTGTCCGAAGCAGTGATTGCCTTCGCTGCACCCTCTTGGGGCCCTTGTCCTTGGTCCTCAGTCTGGGACAACATGTCCCAGAATTCTGGGAGATAGGTATCATCCACCTCATCCGGGCTGGCCATCTCCTCCCCTCCTCCTTGGTAGGCCACCACGCTGGGGTTCTTTTTAGAGAGCACTGGCTTGCCTGGCCCGGGGACATGCTTGTCACAGCTGGGGCCTGCCTCTTCTTCTGGGTCTGCAATAATATCTCCACAGCCTGTAAGAGAGTCAAAGCTTTTCAGTGAAGTCACGTCAGAAAACATCAAACAAATACGATCTGCCGACGGGTCTGAGGGTGGATCAACAGAGGAAGGGTCAGGGACGGCAGACGCCCGGCCGCTGCCACCTTCGGAGTCGACAAGGGGGACGGTCTTTATCGGAACGTCACCTGTCCTGGACGCATCCTCGGCCGCCTGGACCTCACCAGCTCCCGACTCGAGGGCTGCCCCGGGCTTCTCCGCGCGCCAATGCCCCTCGGCGTCCTCTCCCCGGGCGCTTTGGTCGCCAGGGCCGGCGGGGCTCGCGGCCTCGAGGCAGGTCCGCGCCGGGGCGCGCTCGGCAGACGCGGGCGCCTGCTCTCCCCCTTCGGGCTCACCTGCTGCGTGTCGCGGGGCGTCCTGGCCCGGGCTGTCCGGGCGGCGCGCGGCTCGGGGCGGCTCCTCCTTGACGCACTCCAGGCTGGCGGTGAGCGAGCCGGGCAGGACTAGGCTGCCCGGGCCCGCCGCGCGCGCCGCCTTCTCCTCCTCCTCCTTGCCGCGCTTGTCCCTCCGGTGCCAGCGCATGCTGCTGAAGATCCCTTTCAGCCCCCTCTTTTGTTTGCTGCCAGCCTTGCTCGCCTCGGCAGGGTCCCCTTTGCCTGTCTCAGATCGCCCGTTCTTTTTCAGCAGGGAAAAGAAGCTATGGGACTTGGCCACCGAGCTGCTGGCTAGGGAGCCCAGGCCAGGCCCGGCGGCTTTGGGGGGTCCGGGGTTCGGCCGGGCCCCGCCGTGATCGCCCCCGCCGGGCGGCTCCTCCTTCTTGCTGCCCTCCAGCATCAGTACCTCCGCTAATCCGTCGTGGGTCCTGCTTCTAACCATCCCCGCCGGCCCCGCGCTCTTCCCATCCCCTTTGTTTTTGACCCCAAAAATGCTGGGCATGGTGCCCCCCGATTTCCTCTTCTTGAATAACTTGAACGCAGCCTTATTGATCTTCCCCGACGGCGGTTCTGCGGCGGGCGTCTCCGCGGCGCACTCACAATGCGAGTCCATGTCTGCGGCGAGGGCCCCGGCCTGCTCCTGCCTCCTGCAGACCCCCGCGCGCGCGCCGCCGCGCTCGCTGACAGCCGCGCCGCCGCCGCCGCCGCTGCCGCGGCTCCTGCCCGTCTCCATGGAAACCGAGCGGGATCAGCCGCTGTCGTCAGCCGTAGGCTCGCGCCAGGCCACTGTCACCCGCGTTCTAAATCAACCTGAGCGGCTCGCGCTGCTGCGCTGTGGCTGCTGCTACTGCGGCGGCTGAAGCGCACAGACCGGACTATCTCCCCTCCTGCCAACGGCTTATATAATACCCTGGGCGCCACATAGGTTTTTGTGTAGCAAGAGCCCTCATCACAGACTCGAGCTCAAAGAAAGAAAGAAAGAAAGAAAGAAAAATTCGCAGTTATGGGCTTCGGATCCCAGTGCCTCGATTCTCACCCACCTCGGGATCCTGCTCTAGCCTAGCTTTTGCTTGGAGCCCAATTTCAGGCATCAACATATGTTCCCGGGTGCCCCAAAGAACAAGGCCGTTTCCTTTATCATCTGTCTCGGGAATTCATGCAGCCTCCCGTCTCTTAGGTCCTTCACATAGGTCTTAATGTGTGGGCATTAAGCCCATGAGGCACCGGGCCAAATCTGTCCATGCTGGTGTCGGGTCCTGTGCTCAGTGTGTTCTTCGGGTTGATGCTGCATTCGGATATGATTCCTGTTACAGAAGCAACAACCATCCGCCAAATAGCAACTAGATTAGCAGCTCTCAGCAACAAAAGTCCAGCAGTCCCCTGGGGTCGAGGATCACTGGTCTTTGGGAAACCATGAAGCTTTTATCCCATACTCCAGTGACATGGGGCTTAAGTCACAAAAGTCACTGTCCAGCCTACAGTTGGTCACAATTGACTGAGCAGACTTAGAACTTAGCTTGGAATGCTCTGGTCCCTCTACCAGTGGGCCTTAGAGGCCTGGGTTCTGCCTTCCTCTTCCCTTCAGGGTTATGGTAAGTATATCTGTCCCTGCTGTGCCCACCCTGCCCCTGGCTATGAACACCCCAGGACCTACTTGCCATCTTCCCCAATAAGACAAGAAAAAGACAGACAGGGGTCAGAGGTCAGGAGTCCCTGACATTGTTCTGACCAACTGGTCTAGAGTCAAAGAAAACTCCATTCCCAAGAACAGCCCTGTCTGTGTTCTGACTTTGAAGGCTAGTGATATAATATTGTGACTTTTCCTAATCAGCGAAGTAGGGAGGGATTTGGAGAAATGTTATGTTTTGTAATGTTTAATGACGTTATTCTTAAATGTGTTTGATTATATGTACTGTTTACACATGTGTACTAACGCCAGACTTTCATGCTTCTCTTGTATGTATTCTCTATGTGTTACTCATATTAATCAGACCCGTTGTTGGCCATGGCAGCTTCCACGGTTCATGTTTAGGCCATGGGGTTCAGAGCCCTTTCTCGTTTTGATGAAAAATGCTTGAAACTGTGATTGTATTCAATGGAGCTTTCAGGTCTGAGTTCTAACCCCACCAGCTCTCTCTGCTTAGTAACAGGACTCTCTATGAACAGGAATGTGAGGCAGACTTTTCTCAATATCCCTTTTTAAAAAATGATTTTTTTTCAAAATACTTCTTTCGTAGTGTGTTTGGGCATATGTGCTGCAGTAAACTTGGAGTTTTCATCTTCAACCATGGGGGTCCCAACAATCAGTTTGTCTGGCTTGGTGGGAAGAATCCTTACCTACTGAGTTATCTCACTGGCCCATTTCCTGATAGTCTAACTGACCGTGTGACAGGATGGAATAGAGCCATTTCGCCCTGCAAAAGACAAGGTGTGTGGAACTATAAAGAGAAAGTCATTTGTGATTTCTTTGAAAGCCTTTGGAGGACAATTGGAAGTCTGTCTCGGTTCTTAAAACACACACACACACACACACACACACACACACCACGCTGGCTAGATATGTGGGTTACTATGAAAATAACTATGTCAGGCTGAAATAGGTTCAGATCACAGTCAGAACAGGCTGTCTAGAGAAATCACAGGTCTCTGCGCCTAGAATTGGTGTCGGTGGCCTGTTTATCTACCAAGACAGGCCAAATGTAACTCATCTACATAAGAATTCTCCCATCCCCAGGGAGAAAACTTATCAAGGACACTGGGATTGCTGTCGTTCCTTTGGGACCTAGATACTTAAAGAGAAAGGGACAAAGCAGCTTTAGTGTAGGGAAGGCATCTTGGTGCCAAGTCATCTACCTGTGGAGGAAGGAAGCAAGGCACTTAGAGCCATCTGCTAGCCGGATGCCACCAACAGGCAAGGTGAGCTCCAGACTGACTGAGGACTCCCAACTTCCTCTCCCAGGTGGGAGAGAGCAGCTTTCAAGGGATTCATCAAAAAAAGGACCACACAGTTTGGACAGAGGGTGGGAGCAGCAGGATGGCCTGAGAGTTAGGACTAACTAACGGCAAGCTGTTGAGTGACAGAATGAAGGGCGGGGCTAGGAATCAAGGCAAAGATTTCTACAGATCTGAAACAGCTCTTTGCTCTTCAACGCTGAGAGATGGGCAACAGCCAGGCCTGGTGGTACAGGCCTGGAAACTCAGCTACACGGGAGTCTGAGGCAGGAGGATTGAAAGCTGAAGGCCTGACTGGGCTATAGAGAGGGGTCAAAACCAGCAATGTAATGAGACCCCAGCTCAACATGGAAGGTAAAAAGATATACCTAAGAGAGTTTTCTAGTTTACACAAGGCCCTAAATTAATCCCTATGCCCACCACCTCCACAGAGTGGGGCAAGGGACTATAACTGTACAGAAACAGAAGCATTTTCCTGGAGACAGGGATTCAGGAAGATTTTTACCAGAAGCACCCCAGTCGTGTATTGTGTGGCCTTTCCTTCTTTCCTCTGAGGAGGCTTGACTGAGGGAGTGAAGCGAGGGAGAATAAACAGCCAGGCTGAGGGGAAATGGCCAGCAGCAAAGCTGCTCCAAAGCAATGAGGCTTCCTTGGAAGGATGGAGCGGCAGACTTTACTGGAAAACCAGGAGCTTTGCTTTTGCAGGACAAGGGAGGATTCACCATTGAGTTGGGACTTCTCCATTTGGAGGAGGACACTCAGAACAAGAAAAAGGTTGAGAGAAATGATAACCTTGGAGACCTAGCTCCATTGTGGTTGCCATTGTCATCTCCTTGTTGAGTGTCTCCTCACAGCCGAACCCCCGTCCCTGTCCTATGCTTGCCAAGTGGGATTTTCTGCCAGGTGGGCCACACAGAGTACCACATGCAAAGGGTTGACTGAGGGTTCCTCTCAAAGTCCCTGTGTGGCTGCTGCCAGGGGACACTTGCAGGTCAGGGCATTTAGGATGGGAGAGCTCACTGGCTCTATGTTCAACTGGCCTTGAGCCTTCGAAGTATTTAACCAAGGAGAGTTAGGAATGATTCCTGGATTAAGACCAGCACTTGCCACCTGAAGACCAGTTGGCCAGTCTGGATCCCACCCCCCACCTCCAGGTGGAAATGCCCAGCCTCTGATCTTGTCTGTTCTCACCTATGATGCTTCTCCAAGGTGTGCTCTTGAAGTTGTCATGCTGATGAGGGTCAGAGGTCCAGTCCAAAGTGTTTGTGAGGGACAGCATAACAGTGTCCATATGCCCAAGGCCGAGATGTCACCTGGGCTCAGTCCTCACAGTCTTGTACCTGGATCAAAGGTATAAGTGACCCAATGCAAGCAAAATAAGCACTTCTCTGCAATGCTAGTGGGCGCCCTGGGAACACAGGTCAGGCAGTGGCTCACAGGTCTGGCATTTCTAGCATAGCGGTCTGCTTCCAGGAGCTGCTGTAACAGACTACCACAAAGTCTGGAGGTGTAAAAATGGCAGGGATCTATCACCTGTAGTTCTAGGGGTCAGGGATGCAAGATCAAGGTGGCAGCAGGGCTGGCTGTGACTATAGATCCCAGGACTGTCCTATGCCTGAATCCTGGTTCTTGTTATTGCTCAAATCGTTGTTGCCCCTTGGCTTTGAAACATTTCACATCACTCCTGCCTCCATTGCCACAGAGAGTCTCTGTGCATCTGTGTGTGGGGCCATTGTGTCTATCTGATTCTTCTCTTCTGACCACTATGCCAATTGAATCAATGTTCTACCGTTTGGGGGGTTGTGGGATGGCTTGGTGGTAATAGCATTTGCTGCACAGGCACGAAGACCTTAGTTCAAATCCCCAGCATCTATGTAAAAAGTCAGGCATGATTGTAACCCCAGTGCTACAAGACTCCTAGGGGTAGCCAGTGGCTAGCCTAGCTCCAGGTTCAGCACAAGATGCTGCATCTGAGGAATAAGGCAGAAAGTGAGATAGGAGGACACCTAACGCCCTCCTCTGGCCTCCACAGTCATGTGCGTGTGTGACCCAAACACCCCATCCTACCCTGGTACAACCTCATCTTACCTTTTATCTTAGTTACATTTTTTTTTTTGGTTTTTCATGACAGGGTTTCTCTGTGGCTTTGGAGGCTGTCCTGGAACTAGCTCTTGTAGACCAGGCTCGTCTGGAACTCACAGAGATCCTTAGTTACACTGGCAAAGACTCTCTATTTTTGCAATAAGTTTCCATTCACAGATGCCAGTGGTTAAGACTTCTCCATACTTTTTGAAGTACATAGTTCAACCACAGCAAGTGCTTTCCGTAGCGGTGACCCCATCCACCCTTCCTTCCGTCCTTCAACACAGTCACTGATGCCTTTGACCTTAGATGTTGTTTTTGGATCCAGGCACAGGTAAATTCACACTGAATGTAGTCTACTCTGATATGAAGTTCCCCTGGAAGATATATGTGCTGTGTATGGCCTTTCTGGGGGTGTCAGCAATATGGAACTACACCATGGCCAGCCCAAGTAAACAATAGAGAAATTGGTGATGACCAAGCTGAGCAAGTGCCACCACGGTGAGACCCACAAGATACCCCAGGACTATCCAGGAGAACTGCTAAGTGTGTATTAGAGTGCCCACACGGTGAGGAGACTAGGACAAGGGACATATTGATGGGAGCTCTGACAGCTCTCCTGTCCACGCACCCAAGCCTGAAAAACACCTCACAGAATCCCCTGAAGTCTGTTCTCTTGTTCCCACTCCGTTTTGTCAGATGCACTGTGAAAGAAGAGTCCATTTTAGAATGCAGGTTGGGGTGGGGTCTCTTCAGCTGTCAGCTCCACAGCAAGGCCAAAATCAGAGCAAATGAGGTCAGACAGCAGAGGGTGTGCGGACGGGATGCCAGGGCTCTGGCTCCAAGCAACAGCGGTAGAGGACAGCTACGGGAGCTACAGAAGTCAAGAAGTCAGCTCATCCCGATGGAGGCAAAGAGAAAGCCTGACTGGATGGCAGAGAGCCTGCAGCCAGGGGCTGGGAAGCCAGGGGCTGGGAAGCAAGGCTGGAAGGCGGCTGCAGAGCTATGCTGTCTCACAGTGGAGTGAGGGAGCAAGGAGGCTGCGGGTCTACGCCCTTGCTCCTTGGGGTACTTCAGCTCATTCTAGGGAAACTCTCCTCAGGACCCACTGCTGACAAAGTCAGCATTACACAGAGGCTTGGTCAACCCACTCAGCAGATACTCAAGCATGGGCCGCTCTGAGGGGCTGGAGTAGGCAGACCCTTCTGTTCAGGTTCACCCTAGCACCAGTCATCGCTGCAAGTGGCTCTGATATCCTAATCACAAACCTGACCCTTCTGGAATTACTGCCCCCTTTTAGTCAGTGGCAGAACCCCTCTGCTCTCAGCATGCACGAGAGATTCCTCCCCACTTTCCTACTCTTTTGGAACTTGTCAGCACAGCACATGAAGAGCAGAGCCCTTCCTAAGGCTTGGCTCTTACTGTCTCTCTGTGAAGCAGGTTGACTGTGTACAGGAAAGAAGTTCAGGGAGAGATTCCGAACACTCAGCCAATGTCACACACCAGTTCCTTTCCATTTGCTCAGAGAAGCAGAACTAATGCCACAGTTAAGTGAAGCAACCACATGCACACATGTGTACACAAACCTGCCTCAGACATATGCCTAAACCACACACACACACACACACACACACACACACACACACACACACACACACACACACACACACCCTGAACTCCAAAAGCTAATTCTCATTTTTTTCCTGTACTTCTACTGGTTCCAGTGAATTCCCCAGACTATCACCAAACCCTAACATACAATAACATGCCCCAACTACTATGAGCATGTTCCCTGAATATGTTTTTGTTTTGCTTTTGTGTACACCACATCCGACTCCTGGAACACATCACCTCCCCTGGAGCCAATGATTTTCTATGTGCCCCATGTGACAGTTGGGACCACAGTTGTCCTGTATGCCTCCGAAGCCCTGCAGATTTCTATGATATGTCACTCATGGAGAAATCATTTTCTACGTAGTGTCAGTCAGCTTGGTCACTTCCCATAAACTAACTATGGCTGGACTTAGCCACCTCACTGGCCCCAGGTCGTGTATAAAGAACAGAAATGCAATCTTCGGAAGACAGAGAAGTCCAAGATTAAGGCACCAGCAGATCTTCTATGTGATGAGTTTGGCCTTGTGGTTTCTAGATGGCATTGTATACCTGTGTGTTCACACAGCCCCTTCCCTCCCGCCTCTCTTATAAAGGCGCTAATCTTAATCACAAGGGCTCCACCAGGGAGGGAAATGTGTTCTGACCCAGCCATACACCCAAGTCCAGGGAAGGAGTGAGTGCGTGAGAGCAGACCTCAAGAGATCACCCCACTCTCTACCTCCTCAGCAGACACACTTTCTTTATTCTTCATGAACCTCAAAACCCAAGTTCAGTCTCTACCACCTGCTGAAAGCAAAGGAAACCACTGTCGGGGCCCCCCCCCAAAAAAAAACCCACCTGCTCTCAGTTCCCAAATAAACATTTTGGCTTCACCTCCCTGGCTTTTAAGTAACTATAGCTAACATGTATAATAGTCTTCCTTTCTCCCCCCCCCCCCGCCCTCCCTCCCTCCCTTCCTCCCTTTGTGTTTATTTATTCATCCAGCAGTGTTGAGGAGCAAACCAAGAGCTTTGCACATGCTAGGCAAACTCTCTAACTCTGACCTTAGCCACTTTTAAAAAATAGAGTCTTGTGTAAGCCAGGCTAGCCTCAAACTTTACATAATTCATCTGGGAATAAGCTTAGACTTCTGCTACTCCTGCCTCTCCCTCCCAAGTGCTAAGAGTAGACATTTTGTGAACTGATTATCACGCATGCTGGGCAAGCGCTCTACACCTGAGCCTGACTGTAACTGACCCTTCTGACTTGTGGGTTACACTGATGGCCCACTGATGAAGTGTCATCAATGCTCAGTCCACAAACAGCCCCCAGCCGATTCCTGAGGAGACCTGCTTGAGACTTGCTCTCTGTGCCACACCCTTGACCCCATTCTGAATGAAACTGTTCTCTTTTGCCAGAGTCACTGTCTCAACGGTTAGCCTGTCACCGGCCTGGCTCAGGAACTCCCCTCCCAGCTTGGCTCTCCAAGTCAGTTTGCCTTTTCCTTGGAGAGGAGTGTTTTGCATTAAATACACTTAGTACCTGCATGAAACAGGCTAAATTAAACACCTGGCTGCGGTTACGCCCACCTCCAGAGTATGTTGGGGAGGGCTTCCATCTAGTCCTTTCATTCCAGCTGCATGCTGGGTGCTGCGTGCTGCTCTTTGCAGAGCAGGGAGGACCCCTGCTGCTGGCAGCACTAGGACACTGGCCCAGGTGAGGCAATGTGCAACCCTGCAGCTCATTAGGCTGGTGGCATCTTTGTTCCTTCCCCAGACGCTAGGCCAGGACAGCCAGGCTCAGCAGCTTGCATGCTACTTTCTCTCCTTGCGGGTGGGGTTGGGGGTTGGAATTTGTTTTCCTCCGTGATGGGTTAATCCCCCAGCAGCCAGGCTTCCTTCTGTCCCACATCCTAACCACCTACGGGGTATTCCTCCTGGGCTTGGGGGTAAGACCCTGATCTGGATTCACTGGTCTTTAATTTGTGCTTCTCTGTGTCCGCCCCCAGCAAGCTTACTTTTCTCAAAAGACAGAAATCTCAGCAGATGTATTCACTCTGGGTTTTATCCTGGACTCACACCAGCGAGCTCATTAGCCAAGTTAACTAGGTTTTTTTTTTCCTTTCCCCCTTTTAGTTGGTAGGAAAGACCAGGATCATGTGATCTGGCCCCTGGCAGCCCTCATTCCTATATGTTTGGGGGAACAGTGACTCAAATTACCCCTAAGCAAGGGAGCTATGCTTTCTATTCATGCTTTTTCTTACAAGTGTCTGTTTTTATTCAGCAGAAGACTGAAGCTCCAGCAGGAAATTTGTAGGTCAACTGTACTTCACACTAAAAAGAGAAAAAAAAAGCAACACCAGCCAAAAAGCACAGCAAAGCTATGGTGGGGCCCTCTTGGAGTGTCCTGTCTGATTACCCAATTGTTACGGCATAGATTAGGAAGGATTAACCCCAGAGGTTGGACAGATGGAGAGCACTATTAAAATACCCCATGTGGGGCTTCAGAGTAAGTAGTAGTAACCACCTGTCCCCATTTTGTAGGTCAGTCTGTCCTCATTTAGAGCCCTAAGATCATTGGCTTTGGTGCCCGTGTTTGGAGACACTAAATAGCACAGGGCCAGCCCTGTCTGGCCTAGTAGCTCTGCCCTCCTGGCCTCTACCTATCTCTCCCCATGTCCTAGATTAGAGGGGTGGAAGAACACTCTGCTAAATTACAAGGAACTTTGGGGTTATCTCCCGGGGCCCTGGGTAATGGATCTGGGCAAGTTACGCGACTATAACAGACAGGGAGTTTCTACTCCAGGCCTCTTGCTTCTATTAACTACTAAACAGTTGGTGTCCTCTTCTTTGAGTGTCAATAATGGGGACTCCATTAGAACTATGGAATTGTGACTTCAGGAGCAAGGAAGAGGAAAGTGCTCCTTGAGACCTTGTTTCTTTTCAACATTGGGAGATGGTCAGTAAGGCTCAACAGCCTGGGCCTGCATCTGCCTTGAATTTATAGGCAGAATAACACAGACTGGTCTACTCAGTAACTGAAAATACACAGACTCCTCCACTCCCAAGTCTTTTATCTCCTAGAGTAGGAGTGCTGACTTCATAAGGACGTGTTCAGCTACATTAATGGCTGTTGACAAAACAACAAATCAAATGCAGTGGGAATGATTTAGCCAGGGTGCTTCTTCTTTTCATAGCTATCTGAAGTCAATAAAAAAAAAAGTACTGTGCACATTGAGTGACAGCTCCATCAAGACAGGCCCCAGCTCCTTCAAAACAGAGCCCATGATAGAGGATTCACAAGTCCCAGGCTCTACTGACACCACCCACTCATGATCAAGTGTGTTCAAGAAAGCTGACTTCCATACACGGCTTACTCTACACTAACTGATGCCACCAGAAATGTTTGGTAGCTGAGATAAGTTTCGGTAAATATTCACAGCTTCCTTCGTTCTTATGGCTTGAATAACAATGGCCCCTAAAGGCTCATATGTTGAGATGCTTAGTCACCAGGGAGTGGCGCTATTTTTGAAAAGATTAGAAGGATTAGGAGGGGTGGCCTTTTTGGAGGAGGCATGTTACTGGGTATGGGATTTGAGGTTTCAAAGGCTCATGCCCAGCCCAGTTATGTCTCTCTGCTTACGGATCAGCCACAATGATAACGGACCAAGCCTCTGAAAATGTAAGCAAGCCCCCAGCTAAATGCTTTCTTTTATAAGAGTTGCTTTGGCCATGGTGTCTCTTCACAGTAATTGATCAGTGACTAAGGCAGTCCTGGGTCTAAGCAGATTGAGTAGCATCTGTAGGTCAGGGTTGTTCTGGGTAATTTTCATGTATTCATTCAACCACACGGTAGTCATGGGAGACTGGATCTCCCACTACACAGATGAGGGAGCCAACACATAGAAATCATATGCCTTGTCCAAGAATGAAGGGCTAGAAGGAGGTAGAGCAGAGGGGCTCCATAGCCTCCTTTCAGAATCAGAGGCCATGGATCTCCAGGATTCACTGATCTGACTATCACTGACATATGCACAGTCCGGTCCAAAATTCAGAGACATGGCTCTGGCATCTCCCCAGCATTAAGGAGTACCTTAATCCTATGTTACAAAGTGACAGAGACATTCCATGATAAAATAGGGCAAACAAGGGACCCCAGGTCTCTCCTTCCTCTTATGAAATCACTAAGGCCATTATGGGAGCCCCCGGTGTCACATCTCATCTAATTAGTTCCCAAAGGCCCCTATTGTGAGGACCCTTTCTGAAGCAGACATAAACAATGTCTATCTCCTCCTCATAAGGTCCCAACTAAAATCTATGATTCCACCAGAGTTCATCTTGGGGGTTTACTTGCAGTGCCCCGTGTCCGGGAGACCACAGCAGCTGGGTCCTGCCCAGCTTATACGTCCTGTCCTTTTTCGGAGGAAAGTGTGTGGATTAAGAAATGGCAGGTAGAAAAATTAAAGAACTAAAGAAAAGACAGAGACACAGGAGGGCATCTCTAGTGAACACTGGGAAAAAGCCCTAACTTTATTACACACAGTCTTTATAAGCCCCAATCAAAAGTGGGGGAGGCAAAGAGACTTCTTAGCAGATACAGAGAACAAGCAGGCATAATTACCTTCTCAATACCAAAAACATCAAGTAACAACATTCTAAACCAAGAATCCTGTTGTCAAGGCAAGATTGACACACTTTAGGTTAAATATACTGTTGTTAAAGTAAGACATCCATTAGTTACGTCTTAGGTCAAATATCTTGTTGTTTAACCTTGAGAGAGCAATAGTGGGTTTGAACTTTCTGACCTTAAGTCAAGATGAAGCAGAGCCATCTATATGGATCTCAGCATTTACTCACAGAACATGAATAAAAGGTTACTGACAGGAGCCTGGGTGACCCTAGAGCAACCACACCACAAAGTCTCCACCCAGCATTGATGATGGCTTCCCCAAATTTACATAGATGGAGCCCCTTCAGCTAAACTTCCCCAGCTTATATACTCTAGCATCTCCTGAGACCCAGGGGTCTCATGCAACAAGGACAGACTTGCATACAAGTGACCTGGAGAGTGGCTGGAATCTCAGAAGAGGATTCAGAACTTCATTATGCTCTCCCTCTATGAGGAAACATCAAATGCCAATGCCCTGCTTCCGATGGCCTCTTACAAGCAGGCACAGGTGATCTGATAAAGATGGCTGCTGTTTCGATTGAAGGACCACATTCAACAACAGCACCACAATATCCTATGCTATGGAAAACCTCTCTTCACATTACAGTTCATCCATGGATCTACAACTTTTAAAAACTATTGAGATGTTCATGCATGTCTGAATTCACCTACCTAACTGAACATGAGAGCCACATTTTTATACCTTGCTGTACTGGCAAGTTTTGTCAACCATATAGAAGCTAAAGTCATGTGGTAAAAGAAAACTCAATTGAGAAAAATGCCTTCAAGAGATTGCCTGTAGGCAAGTCTGTGGGAGCATTTTCTTGATTAGTGGTTGATGTGGGAGGGTCCAGTCTACTATGGGTGGTGCCATCCCTGAGCTGGTGGCCCTGGGATGTCTAAGAAGGTTGAGCAAAACGTGAGGAGCAAACCAGTAAGCAGCACTCCTCCATGGCCTCTGTCTGCATCAGCTCCTGCCTCGTTTCCTGCCTTGAGTTCATACTCAGATTTCCCTCAGTGATATACTGTGATGCACACGTGTAAGCCAAAGAAGCCCCTTTCTCCACAAGTTGTTTCTAGTCTTGTTTCATCACAGCAATAGTATCCCTAACTAAGACACTTGCCTCAGGAGCACCGTGACAGCCAGTCCCAGACTCAGATGTCAAATAGTGCTGTCTTCATTTCCCTGTGTGCCACCCATGATCCCGGCAGTAATAGTAAGATTA